GAATTCTGGTAATAGACTTTATTTCATTAAATGCATTTGCAGCATTCTCCAGTGTTTAAAGCAGGATGGGAAGAATGGATCTGTGTTAATTCACAGAGTTGTAAGGCAGGAGGTCAAAGTTTATTTCGCCTCAAATGTATCTCGTCTTCCATGTATATTGATGAGGGGCTTACTTTAAAGTTGCAGCCTATGCAAGATAGGGACACATTCACATCCTAAAAATAGGGAACTGAGCCATGAAGATTGAGGCACCCCCAAGGCTAAGAGGGCATAATAAGTCTGTTGTATTGTTCTTGATGTTTGTAGATCAGGGGTGGGCAAGATGCAGCCTGCCAGACCATTCTACCCAGCCTGCGGGGTCCCTAAAACATTTAGAAAATTAATATTTATCTGCCCTTGGCTGCCTGTCATGTGGCCCTCGATGGCTTGCCAAAACTCAGTTAGCGGCCCTCTGCCCAAAATAACTGCCCGCCCCTGCTGCAGATCAATACATATTGGAGTAAAAAATACACAGAAAACATAATCCAGACTATTGATTTGTACCAGGAGCAACCATTTGGGTTTATCATAGAACTAAAGGGGCAGTGCAGGTTTTAAATGAGAACATTAAGTTCTGTTGCAAAACAATGCTTATGGAAAGCCTTTTACCTGATGAGAAAAGAATAGATATTTACTAGGGCTGTGTGAAGCTTCAGTTGCTGATTTGATCTGGCAGAGATTCAGCCCAATTCAGTGGCCAAATTTCCTAATCGAATCAGAAGATCCTTTAATCTCTCCGAATTGAACTGGAACCCTCCAAATTGAAATCGGAGAGATTCAATGATTTGGACATAGACACAGCTTTAAATGTTTATTCTACATGTCTCAAGGTACCAGGCAGCTCACGAATGCTGAGATGGTGAGGTGGATGGAGCATCCCACAGAAGCATGGGGGGTGGGGCCAGCATGCTCAGCAGTGGACCGAAAATGCTTCCGGTCCACTTCCGGGTCCGCCGCCAAGCGCACGGGGGGCCCATTCATATCCAGAGCAGAAATAAATGGCTCCAGTGAAGTCACATCTACACCTGTCTATCCAGGAGGACAGCAGCAAACACTGAAGTTGTTTGAACATTGATGCAACAGCTAAGTAGCGTGTGCATGTGGACAGAGGGAACCTTTAATAAGTCCAATATAACTAAGTAGCCCTGTTATGTTAGGAACTATTCAGACAGAAATAACCTGTCCCTGGCTTTTGTAGTGAGTTAAAAAACTTGAAGTAAGATGCCAATAAATTTTGTTTGGGGGGGGGGGGGGGGGGGGGGGGGGC